GAGAAACGAATCTTCGTGCTGTGATACCATGTTGATTTAGTAATTCAACTCATCCCGAATAATTGTATGCATGGAGGTTTATATAAGTGAGGATCCCTACATGAATTAGGATTCACCAAATATGTAAGCTAGCATAAATAACAATTCTTCCTTAACTAGACTTCTTACCATAGATGTCTAACATTTATATATACTAATTTTTATCTTACTTTTATCCATCAAATCTAAAGGTATTTTTAGAAAAAATCAACACTAAAATATACTTTCTTTATGTTCTTAAAAAATGACACTAGAAAGATCTTATGGGACGGAGGGAATATTAAAATACGATAAATAACTTAATACTTTTTGTCCAAGAAAAAATTTCTTATTTCCTGTATGTTTAGTATGTTTTCAAAAAAAATCTTTTTTAGACAAATTCTTCTGTGAACCTAAGATCTATACTTATTATATAGACCTTAGTGCATTTGTAGTATAAAAGTAAGTTTTTTTCAAAAAAGAACATATTCACATGCAAGCTAATGAAACTTTTGAGAAGGTACACATTTTAAATGTGAACCTTGTTATCATGTAAGCATCACTCTTTTTTTATGGAAAATTTTGAGTGGCTCATAATATTTCTTTCTCCCACATGCGTGGCCCGGAGGGCATGCCAAGTAGCCAACCGCACAGGACTCCTAAAATTTTAGAGACACATATTTTTAAATTCGGCATTAATTTTAAAGCATAAGTATTTTTTAAAAAATAGGGCCCAAAATATAAAATTTTGGACCGGGCCAATTTTATTTTTTCATTTTTCGAGACCGACCTTGCTTTCTCCCCTGCATCACTTTTAATTGAGGCTCTCTTTACAAAATTTATTTTCGAATCGGACCGGATCGAAATACTTAGGACCAAATCAATTCAGATGATTGACTAATAAAAAATACTTCCTCGTCTCAAAAAGATGTTCCATCTTGATTTTTAAGAAATTTAAGGGAGAGATATTTTTGTGTTGACTTTCCAAAAATACCCTTGATGTGATGGTAAAAGTATAATGTGATGTGTAGATTATTAGTAAAAAGGTATGGTGTGATATGTATGTTTAGAATTAATGGAGTAAAAGTGGGTTTTTGATAGAAATCCAAAGATTTTGTGGGACAAGTAAAAAAAGGAAAGGGGGAGGAATTTTTGGGACGGAGGGAGTATAATTTTAATTATTTTGATCTATTAATTACTTATATTTAATAATTTTTAGGCTTTTTAATTTGTACAGTACAAATAAGAAAAAATATAGAAGTAGAAAACTTAAAAATAGTTACACAACTTGGACTACTTCTATGTAAAGTCATAAGAACTAATGTAAAACATTTTTTTGAACTTTTTTAAAAAATTACTGAATAAAAAAATTTAATTAACTAAATTAAGATATCTATTAAAATAATAAAGCATCAATGTGTCATATCAAATTTTAGAAGTAGATTTTCAGTATTTAGAGTATTTAGATCTTTTAGATCCAATAGAGTTGTTAGGTCCATTCGATCTGAACCTAAATCATTTCAGGTTTGGACTGAATTAGATCTAAACTCGAATGCCTAAATTTTTGGAGCGGTGAATAGTCCAAAATCCATTTGGTCCGAGTTGAGTTTGGACTTAATGGTCTGATTCATTCAGTTTTTTAAATTCAGATCTAAACTTGAACAATCCTACTTTCAATCATACATTTTTGTTTTTCTTAGATTTTTTTTCCAACTCAAACTGAACCTTTTTTTAGGATAGATGAAATATAGGGAGTACTATAATGTTATCCCTACTCTTTTTTTTCTTTTTTCTTTTTTTTTTTTCGGTTTTGATCCATTGCTGGTAATGCTGAAGCTTATCTCCAAAAACAGAATAAATAACTAACTCCAATATTCCCAATCTTTCCTTTTTTCATCAAAAAATTGAAAGCTATAGTACTCCTTGGGGTTCCACTTTGAATTTATGTTTGACTCAAATTTGGTATCCTCAAAATATTTGTTCAGTTTTAACATTTTTCAGCCAGACAGAATATATAATTTTACTTATAATTAAATAAAAATTATATGACATATTAATTTTTTAAATAATATTTTAAAACTTATTTAATAAGATAATTGAGTTATAAGTGGAAAGAGTTTGAAAAAACAAGACGGAGTTAGAAAAAATTTGAAATTAATTCTTATTCGTTGTTAGAAGATACTAGAATGAGATAAATGGAGTAAATAATTTTCAATCACAAACTTTTTTAGTTTTTCAGTATAATAATAAACAATCATATTACAACACTTGACTTTAATTTCCGTAAAGCCAAAATGAAACTTCATTTTATGTACTGCCTCCATCTCTAGGTATATGTCTAGTTTTAATTTTTTCCATAAAAATTAATTAACCTTGACCATTAAATAAATAAAATTCATAAACTTTAACAAACATTAATTTGTAATAGATATTGACACAAAAATAATTTTATTATATTTAGTTTTTTCCAGTTTTTTCTAACTTCTTCATTATCTTTAAGTTATTTAAGAAATGTATATACATATGACCGCTATTCAATAACATTAGATATTAAGATTTAGAACACAATACTTCAAATACGGGTAAAGATGAATTCTTTTTTATATTCTAAATTAGTTCCCTTACATATTTATTTTGGTGATCATATAATTGGGTGATTTTTTTAACACAAGAAAAAGTTCAAAGTGAGTATTTTCAATATGCTTATTCTTGGGGGGGGGG